TAGTTATGATGGGTGGTAATTACAAGACCATGGCTGTCTTTAAGACCCCTGGCTGTCTTCAAGACCCCTGGCTGTCTTCAAGACCCCTGGCTGTCTTCAAGACCCCTGGCTATCTGTACAGAGAACTTTCACAGCACGTATAAGTACGATAAAGAACCTAAATTACTGGAAACAGTTGGAGTCCCTGATTTGTACTCCCTGGCATGTAGGTGAGAAAGATACATGATAATATACACTTGGAAAATCCTAGAGGGACTAGTCCCAGGTCTCCATGCGGAAATCACTCCCTACGAATGCAAAAGACTCAGCAGGAGATGCAACATTTCCCTAATGAAAACAGGGGCACAATTAGTACGCTAAGACACAACACAGTAAGTGTCAGGGGCCCAAGACTGTTCAACTGCCTCCCAGCATACCTAAGAGGGATTACCAATAGATCTCTGACTGTTTTCAAGACCCCAGGTTGCCTTCAAGATCCCTGGCTGTCTTCAAGACCCCTGGCTGTCTTCAAGACCCTGGCTGTCTTCAAGACCCCTGGTTGTCTTTAAGACCCCTGGCTGTCTTCAAGACCACTGGCTGTCTTCAAGACCCCTGGTTGTCTTCAAGACCCCTGGCTATCTTCAAGACCACTGGCTGTCTTCAAGACCCCTGGCTGTCTTCAAGAACCCTGGCTGTCTTCAAGACCCCTGGCTGTCTTCAAGAACCCTGGCTGTCTTCAGGAGGGAGGTGGACAGACACAAAGTCAGTACCTGACCAGCTGGGCTGTGGGTCCTACGTTGGTTTATGTGTGGCCGGCTTTAACAGCCTGGTTGATCAGGCCCTGTTCCACCATGAGGCCTGGTCATGGACTGGGCCACGGGGGCGTTGATCCCCGGAACACCAGGTATAACAGGTAGTTGCTACAGTGACGGATGGTTGTTAGAATGACAGGTAGTTGTTACAATAACAGGTGGTTGTAACAATGACAGGTGGTTGTTATCCTTGCAGCTGGTGATCTGGTGTTCCATCATCTTCTACGTGGCTGACCTGTGTCTGGACTTGTGGGTCTGTGCTGCACACTTCGATGCTAAGAAGCCCAAGTCTGGCTGGTTCATCTTCTTCTGTATCCTCCTTCCCAACCTCTATGCTGGCTACAAGTCTCTACAATGGTTAGTTACTACTGCTACTACTGCTGCTGTTACTATTTCTGTTGCTACTACTATTACTACTGTTGCTACTACTGCTACTACTACTGTTGCTACTACTATTACTACTGTTGCTACTACTATTACTACTGTTGCTACTACTGCTACTACTACTGTTGCTACTACTATTACTACTACTACTACTATATCCTCCTACCCAACCTCTATGCTGGCTACAAATCTCTACAATGCAAACAAATAAAATTTATTTCTTTGCATGGTTACATTGAGGTTATGAAATTACAATAATGAGTTGCGGTACAAAGAGACACTATCATGCCTGGGCATTATGGACACGCTTAATTTAATGGCTTACAGACTACTTAATACTAAAGAAATTGATCATAGTTTGCTTAAGTTGTATATCTTTTTTTTATTTATAGTAGACAGTAAATTTACTCCATTTACAATAGTTTCAATAATAAATATTGAAATTATATTATGGGAATATAAAATTGTGAGTTGTTGGAAGTAGTTTACAGTATGAGAATACTACAATTGGGTATAAGGCAGTATTGTTTTGGGTTGGTATTTATAATAATGTATGAACTTTGGGTGCCTAGATTTGAAGTTCTAAGATTTAGGTAATTGGGAGATTTTTGGTAAAGTTAAATATATTGAGTATTGAGTATTCAGTTTAGGGTGAGTAAGTGGTTTTTGAGAAGAGCCTTAAATTGGTGATTAGACCGGGTTAATTTAGTTTTTACTGGTAATGAATTCCAAATTTTGGGGCCCTTTATGTGCATAGAATTTTTACACAGTGAGATATGGACACGGGATACATCAGAAAGAGATCTGTATCTTGTGTCGTGGTCGTGTGTCCTGTTAAGGTTGGTGAGGAGAAGTTTGAGTGGAGGGTTTATGTTTATGTGTATTGTTCTATGTATGTAGTAGACACATAAATAAGTATGGATGTTCTTTATGGTGAGCAGATTTAGACTTTTTGAATATTGGTGGAATATGCTGTCGTGAGTGGGAATTTGTTATCATTCTGACTGCATCCTTTTGCTGGGTTATTAGTGGTCTTAGGTGATTTAATATTGTTGATCCACATGCACAAATTCCATAGGTGAGATAAGGGTAGATGAGTGAATGATACAGTGCAAGGAGTGGTTAGTTACTAGTGCTACTATTGTTGCTACTACTACTGCTACTACTAAGATAAGAGTTGTTGGGATTTTTAACCCTGGAGGGTTAGCCACCCATGATATGCCAAGAAAGTCAGTGCATCATAGAGGAGTGTCTGTCTTATTTCCATTGTGGTCCTCAGTCTTATCCCCCAGGATGCCACCCACACCAGTTGACTAACACCCAGGTACCTACTTGCTAGGTGAACAGGGAAACAGGTGTAAGGAAATGCATCCAGTGTTTCCACCCCTGCCAGGAATCGAACCTGGACACTCATGTCATGAAGTGAAAGCTTTGCCAGCCAGGCCATTACTTCTATTACTACTACTATTTGTAATACTACTACTACTACTGCTGTTTCTACTACTACTATTGCTGCTACTATCACTACTACTGCAGTTTAATACTTTAATTAACATCTTTATTATGCATCCCAGAGGTACACCCTACTACAGGAGTATCTTCCTTCAGGTACCTGAGAGCCCACGAACTGAGCCCTCTGAGGCGGCCCTCTGTGTGGATCATCCGTACCCTCTTCTTCCCCATCAGCCCCATCCTCAGGTGAGTTATTGCGTGATTGAGGCAGTCACTAAACCGGTAGGGGTCATGTGATGCGCTGGGGGAAGGGGATGGCAAGTGATCTGGTTTGAGGTTAGGTAAGGTAAGGTAAGGTAAGGTTAGATAAGGTAAGGTAAGGTAAGGTAAGGTAAGGTAAGGTAAGGTAAGGTTAGGTTAGGTTAGGTTAGGTTAGGTTAGGTAAGGTAAGGTAATGTTAGGTTAGGTTAGGTTAGGTCAGGTTAGGTCAGGTTAGGTCAGGTTAGGTAAGGTAAGGTAAGGTTAGATTAAGTAAGGTTAGGTATGGTAAGATTAGATTAGAGGAATGGGGGACTACCCGAAGTCAGTCCGTGGATAAAATATATAAACATTTCATCTTTAGTTAGTTTAGGTACAGTTACACAAATATAGGTAATTACAAGTACCCTAATAAGTCACTTTGACTGACTTTTTCGGGTTATCCTGTCGGGTAATTTGCACGTTAATATGTAGGACATGTGTGGTCATTTAATATTGTGTAATTCTACCTAAACAATACTGTTATGAATCAAAGAAAATAAGCCAGTGTGTCTGATCTTTTTAAGTTATTCTAGGTAATTTACACATATACAGTGGACCCCCGCTTAACGATCACCTCCAAATGCGACCAATTATGTAAGTGTATTTATGTAAGTGCATTTGTACGTGTATGTTTGGGGGTCTGAAATGGACTAACGTACTTCACAATATTCCTTATGGGAAAAAATTCGGTCAGTACTGGCACCTGAACATGCTTCTGGAATGAAAAAATATCTTTAACCGGGGGTCCACTGTATTACTATGTTATGCAAGAATCACAAACAAGCAATACAAGATGCAAAACAACCGTAGGGAGAGTTGAATAATAGCTCAAGGCCTTTTGTGTTGCAATCAACACATCATCAGGATCCTGCAGAGTTGCAGAAATGAGTAAGAAATCTCAGCAGATTTGTTCCAAAGGACGCTTGCTAAGACGCTTGCTAAGACTCAGTGGTCAGTCGTCAGTACTCAGTGGTCAGTCGTCAGTACTCAGTGGTCAGTCGTCACGTGAGGTCACAGACCCTGAGCTGCTTTGGGGATTAGTGTGGACGGTTACAAAGCATGGCTTGCTTCTGCAGTGTTTTAAAAATTGAGGTTGGAGAGTTGAAGGAGGAGGTCTTGCTTCTCCAGGAGGAGATTAGGAGGCTGAAGGTCCACCTCAATGGGTCTGGGAGAGAGTGTGAGGTGGCTGGAGTTGTGGGGAATGAGGCTTCTAGCAGCGAGGTGCAGTCTGTCTCTCGCTGTGAGGAGGCTGTAGTTGGGGAGGCAGCAACGGCTACCAGCAGTGAGGTGCAGCCAGCACCTGCTACAAGTGGCGAGTAGTCACAGTAATGGAAGGCGCATCAGAGTAAGGAAAGTTAAGAGTGAAGTCTGAAGGTAGGAAATCGCTTCTCTGTTCTTCAGGATGAATGTACTTCAGTGGCCAGTGAAGGTAAGGGTACTACTGCCCCTGCTAATGGAGGTAAGCGCATTCTTGTGGTTGGTGACTCTCAGGTAAGATACATTGACCGTGCTTTTTGTAATAGGAATAAAAAGATGAGAGATAGAGTGTGCTTCCCTGGAGCTGGTGTTGGGACATTGTCAACAGGCTGGATAATATCATGTCAGGTAATGGAGCAAGCCCATTATCTGTCTCAGTGCTGGTGGAAATGATATTGGGAAGGGTAGGAGAGAAGAGCTGCTAGATAAGTACAGTCAGCTATAGATTTCATTAAGTCTAAGGAGGGATCCCAATCATATGTAGCATCTTGCCTAGAAGGGGAGTAGGAAATGAATGGTTGTCTAGGGCAATTGGTGTAAATTGCTGGCTAGACAGATACTGCAAGGAACTTGCAATCCCATTCATTGACAACTGGAACAACTTTTATGGCAAACATGATATGTATGCAAGGGATGGGGTACATCTCTCTGGGGCTGGGTGGTAGCACTTACAGACTCGATTGAGAAGCCATTGGTGAAATGCCTATGATTTTAAACTGATGGAAGATAGAGGTATGGGTGTGTGTGGGAAACAAGCAGGTTGCAACACTTGGGTTGGAAACAGTAAATGTATAAAGGCATTCAGCATGAAGTTATAAATAAAGACAATAGATCAGGTCAGCAAACAAAGGGGGACAGCAAAGGGCAGCAAGGGACTAGCTCCCTTAAGGTTTACTATACTAATAGCAGGAGTGTAAGAAATAAGATAGATGAGCTAAGATTAATTGCAAGTGCAGGAAACATAGATATTATTGCTATAACAGAGACCTGGCTCAATCTGAAAGATAGAGAGATGCCTCTGAATGTCACATACAAGGCATAAATTATTCCACACTGACAGGGTCAACAGGAAAGGTGGTGGAGTAGCGATGTATGTCAGAGACAATTTAAATTGTTGTGTTAGACAAGATATTAAATTAGAAGCGTCAGCCACTGAATCTGTTTGGTTACAGCTTCTCGAGGCGCGAGAAAAACTAATTTTGGGTGTGATTTACAGGGCCCCAAATCTTGATAGGGAGTGCAGTAAACTTCTATGGGACGAAATTCGTAAGGCATCTACATACGAAAATGTTGTGCTAATGGGAGATTTCAACTATAGACAGATTGACTGGAGCAATTTGACAGGAAATTTAGAGTCAGGTGAATTTCTTGATACGATCCAGGATTGTTTTTTAAAACAGTTTGTGACAGAGCCAACTAGGGGAAATAACCTCCTTGACTTGGTTCTTGCCAGTAGGGAAACACTAATTAATAATCTTCAGGTTAATGATGAGCTTGGGGAAAGTGATCACAAATCACTCAGTTTTAATATATCATGGAATTCCCCTAATAATGGCAATCAAGTCTCCGTCCCTGACTTTCGCTTGGCTGATTTCATAGGACTGAAAAATTACTTAGGTGGGCTGAACTGGAATGACCTGACTAAGGGTCAGGTAGGTGGTGATGGTTGCCGATATGATGCTTTCCGGGGCATAGTTCTAGCTGCTCAGTCAAATTATGTTCCAAATAGGGAAATCAGATCAAACAAAAATGATCCTAAATGGATGAACAATAGATTAAAATATCTGATTGGTCAAAAGAGAGGCATATATAGGCAAATCAAAAGAGGAGAGGGGCAATTGAGAAATCGATATATTCAGTTAAAGAGAGAAATAAAAAAGGGAATTAGAAAAGCAAAAAGAGATTATGAGGTTAAAGTTGCAAGAGAATCGAAAGACTAACCAAAAGGATTCTTTCAGGTATACAGAAGTAAGATCAGGGACAAGATAGGCCCACTCAAAAGTTCCTCGGGTCAGCTCACTGACAGTGATAAGGAAATGTGTAGAATTTTTAACACATACTTCCTCTCAGTTTTTACACAGAGGATACCAGCGATATTCCAGTAATGATAAATTATGTAGAACAGGACGATAATAAACTTTGCACTATTAGGGTCACAAGTGACATGGTCCTTAGGCAAATAGATAAATTAAAACCTAACAAATCCCCAGGCCCTGATGAACTGTATGCAAGGGTTCTAAAGGAATGTAAAGAGGAGCTTAGCACACCTTTGGCTAATCTTTTCAACATATCACTACAAACTGGCATGGTGCCAGATAAGTGGAAAATGGCAAATGTGATACCTATTTTCAAAACAGGTGACAGGTCCTTAGCTTCGAACTATAGACCAATAAGCCTAACCTCCATAGTGGGAAAATTTATGGAATCAATAATTGCCGAGGCAGTTCGTAGCCACCTTGAAAAGCATAAATTAATCAACGAATCTCAGCATGGTTTTACAAAGGGGCGTTCCTGCCTTACGAATTTATTAACTTTTTTCACTAAGGTATTTGAGGAGGTAGATCATGGTAATGAATATGATATTGTGTATATGGACTTCAGTAAGGCTTTTGACAGGGTCCCACATCAGAGACTATTGAGGAAAATTAAAGCACATGAATAGGAGGAGAAATTTTTTCCTGGATAGAGGCATGGTTGCAAATAGGCAGCAGAGAGTCTGCATAAATGGGGAGAAATCAGAGTGGGGAAGTGTCACGAGCGGTGTTCCACAGGGTCAGTGTTGGGCCCCCTGCTGTTCACAATCTACATAAACGACATAGATGAGGGCATAAAGAGCGACCATCGGCAAGTTTGCCGATGACACCAAAATAGGCCGTCGAATTCATTCTGACGAGGACATTCGAGCACTCCAGGAAGATTTGATAGACTGATGCAGTGGTCGGAGAAGTGGCAGATGCAGTTTAATATAGACAAATGCAAAGTTCTAAATGTTGGACAGGACAATAACCATGCCACATATAAACTAAATAATGTAGATCTTAATACTACGGATTGCGAAAAAGATTTAGGAGTTCTGGTTAGCAGTAATCTGAAACCAAGACAACAGTGCATAAGTGTTCGCAATAAAGCTAATAGAATCCTTGGCTTCATAGCAAGAAGCATAAATAATAGAGTCCTCAGGTTGTTCTTCAACTCTATACATCCTTGGTTAGGCCTCATTTAGATTATGCTGCACAGTTTGGTCACCTTATTACAGAATGGATATAAATTCTCTGGAAAATGTACAAAGGAGGATGACAAAGTTGATCCCATGTATCAGAAACCTTCCCTATGAGGATAGACTAAAGGGCCCTGAATCTGCACTCTCTAGAAAGACGTAGAATTAGGGGGGATATGATTGAGGTGTATAAATGGAAGACAGAATAAATAAAGGGATGTAAATAGTGTGCTGAAAATATCTAGCCTAGACAGGACTCGCAGCAATGGTTTTAAGTTGGAAAATTCAGATTCAGGAAGGATATAGGAAAGTACTGGTTTGGTAATAGAGTTGTGGATGAGTGGAACAAACTCCCAAGTACCGTTATAGAGGCCAGAACGTTGTGTAGCTTTAAAAATAGGTTGGATAAATACATGAGTAGATGTGGGTGGGTGTGAGTTAGACCTGATAGCTTGTGCTACCAGGTCGTTGCCGTGTTCCTTCCTTAAGTCAATGTGACCTGACCTGACTAGGTTGGGTGCATTGGGTTAAGCCGGTAGGAGACTTGGACCTGCCTCGCATGGGCCAGTAGGCCTTCTGCAGTGTTCCTTCATTCTTATGTTCTTATGTTCTTATGTTCTTAAATCTTAGCAAGTGTCCCTTGCAATGAATCTGCTGAGATTTCTTACTCATTTCTGCTACTTTGCAAGCTCCTGATGTGCTGATGCAACAAAAGACCTAGAGCTATAATTCAACTCTCCCTGTGGTTATTTTGCATATTACTACTTATGATAATTGTACTTATGTATACCTGTAGCTAAATAATCTTACTGAATCTTTGTGGTAGATACTTGGATGCATGGAAGTACGGTCGTCAGGCTCGGAAACACTGGAAGAACCACAATCTTATGCTGGAGAGGAAGAGCTTCGAGAATTACCTGGTGGAGAATGCTGAGGTGGCCCTCCTGCGACTGGTCATCATCTTCCTCGAAGATGCACCCATCGTTGTCCTCAACTTAGCACAGCTCCTCCAGACTCCACCTGACCAGTGGGCCAAAATATCTGGTGTGTATTATTACCATGGGGGAGCACTAAACCCATAGGGATTATACAGCACCTGTGAGGGAGGAGGGGGTGAAGTAAGCCATTCAGGAAACTGGAGCACAGATCCAGTTCCCTAGATCAAGAGCTCCTCACCAGCATCAAGGGGTCTGGTACATATCATGACATGGGATTGGTAGAGCACTCAGCTCACACATTGAGGTCCATGCTTTGATTCCCAGGATAGGTCAAAACATTAGGACATGTTTCCTTAAAACACCTGTTGTCCCTGTTCACCTAGCAGTAAGTAGGTACCTGGGTGTTAGTGGACTGGTGTGGGTGGCATCCTGTGGAACAAAATTAACCTAAGATGCAGGAAATGCTCTACATAACCAGGGACTTTCTGAGTCATTGATGTCAGTTGTGGTCTGTATAAGATGTATCAAGTATTTGTAGAAATAAAGATTATTACTTTTTGACAGAGGGCAGGCCAGACCCAGAGATCGTGCGACTAGGCTCAGTGATAGCCAAGCTGTCGTGCACCATGACACTGGGAGTCGTGCACTACATGTCGTGCAACAAGCTAGCATGGCACCTGGCCAACACTCAGAACAAGAAGACTCAAGAATCAGACAACAGCTCCACTAAGGATGAGTGGGAGAGCAAGGGAAGGTTGTCATGGGCCGCAGAGTTGAGCATATACTGCTGGCAGTTACTGGCCATAAGTAAGTGCTAAGTTAAGTATATACTGCTGGCATTTACTGGCTATAAGTAGGTATTAAGTTAAGTATATGTATACTGCTGGCAATTACTGGCCATAAGTACTAATTTAAGTATATACTGCTGGCAGTTACTGGCCATAAGTACTAAATTAAGCATATGCTGTTGGCAGTTACTGGCCATAAGTAAGTATTAACGAATTATTTCTTTGTGCAGTATACAAAATGCAGTTTTCTCTTATTTTTCAATGCACTGGCTGTTTCCCACCAAGGCAGGGTGACCTGAAAAGAAAAATGAAAGTTTTTCTTTTTAAACTAAGTAATTTATACAGGAGAAGGAGTTACAAGTCCCTTGCTCCCGGCAATTTAGTCGCCTCTTACAACATGTATGGCTTACATAGGAAGGATTTTAACCCACTTCCCCATGGGAAAAAAATGTAGTTTACAGGTAATGAAATATTGTTAAGCACATAAGAAAGCCACTGTACTAGAATTAGTCTGCCCAAAATGCCCCGGCATGATAGTGGCTTTCTTCGTACTTAGCAAACCAAAATTGTAATTACACACTGTAACCTTTACTAAGAAATAAAATCTTTATCTTTTATTTTGGACAGTGTGTGTCAAGTCATAAAAAATCAGGTCTCCTCCACTCACTCCAATCTAACATGCTCATGCAAGCCTGCTGGATGTACAGAATTATCCTGTCATTATATTCACAAAAATGCAGTGAATTTGAGTCATACAATGCAAGGTGAATGGAAATAAATCACTTTGTTTTGTGTTATCCTGGTGAGTAATTTACACATGTTACTATGTATGACTGTACTTTTGTATACCTGTACCTAAATAAACTTGTTGTAATCAAGCTTCAGTTCCCCAGAGTCAGAGCCACTCATCAGAATGATGCTTGAGATATTTATTTCTATTAATAAAGAAGAGAGAGACATTTAACTATAGAATTGATATGGAAAAAAAGGTGGATGGTGCATTAAGGCATCTGTGGGAAAAACCTTGATCTTTGAAGGTAAAAGGGGGAATGTACCTTAGTGGTACCAACACTGTTGTATGGGTGTGAAGCATGAGTTTTTAATGTTGCAGCAAGGAGGGCTGGAGGCAGTGGATATGTCATGTTCGAGGGCAATGTGTGGTGTGAATATTGTGCAGAGAATACAGAGTGTGGAGATTAGGAGGAGGTGTATTATACAGAGCACTGAGGAGGGGTTGACGTGGATTAGACATTTAGGGAAGATTTTAGCAAAATAGGAGGACTAGGAGGGCATATAAATCTGGGGTGGAGGGAAGTGGTTGTCCTGAGAAAGGTTGGATGGATGGGAGTAAAGGATTTGAGTACTATGGGCTTGGACATCCAACAGGTTTGCATAGCATATTAGATTGATTGGAGTGAGTGGAGGCAAGTGGTTTTCATGAGTTGACATGCTATTGGAGTGCGAGCAAAGAAACATTTATGAAGGCATTCAGGGAAATTGGTTTGCTGGAGTTAAATCTTGGAGGTGGGAAGTACAGTACCTGCACCCTGAAGGAGGGATTGGGAAGTAGAGGTTTGGTGGGTCATCTGAGCTGTGATCTCAGTGTCCTTCTGGCAAGACAGTGATTGAATAAGTGAAAGTGAAAGTGACAGGTCACCTTCACTTGATGGTAGACAGCCACTGTTATAAAAAAAATAGTCATTTTGTTAATTCTCTTAAGTTATATTTCTTGACAGCTTCCAGAGTGATAGCATATGCCCTCTTCTGGGTGGTGCACTTCAACTTGCTGTGGATACCAATCCTAGTCCGCTGGACAATCCACACACTGTGGATCTACTTTGATGTTGCCGAGATGTCACTCATCAATTCCATTGCCTTCGGAGGAGTTTACCTTTTCTCCTTTGTTACAACTTCACCAGGACGTCAGGTAAACACAGTACTGTCTCAACAAAACCATATTACCCTTTTTTTGATCTGTCAGTTATTTTTCTGCACAAGAAACAAGTAGAATTTGACAAATATTCATATCAAGCTGAGACAGAAATTGATGAGCTTTATATTACTATGCCCAGTAAAAGATGGAAATGGGGGTGGCATAGATAATGACAGCGATGAAGAGATAATAATAAAATTTCCAAACCAGTGTGTATAAAAACCTGTTAAACAGTCAAATATTCTTCAATAAAATACATAGAGCATTGCTTTCCTGTTTGCATCCAACTGGGTCAGGTTTAAGATTGTATGTGAGGTGATATCTCAGACTTACAAACCTTCTGCTGTTCTAATATTTTTACAGGTTCTTGATAATGTGAGAAATCACAGAGGCACTTGGAAGTTCACTATTTTTTTAGTGTCTGTTTTGCATATTGTGATATCGTCTGTCTACTGTGATCTTATTGCATTAAACCTCGGACTCTGGTTTCTTCAAGGTCCGGTGTGTTCTAACAACAGGGTTCCACAGTATTACGATTTTGTGAGTACAGCACCATGCATATAGGAAGTTCTCAACTTACAAACACATTGGGGGACCTTCTGTGTTGTGTTTAATAATGATTTACTATTATACACAATAATGATATAATAATATTATACACAATACAGAATATTCTCAATGTGTTTGTAAGTCAAGAACTTACTGTAAATGAATGAAATTCATGTATCGGGGAAAACTCACCTGACACATTTCACTTTCAGTGGCTCATCAACAGCCCAGACTTGTCTGGTGCTTCCTTGTGTCTCTGGTAGAGTACTTAGCATAAAAAAAAAAATCAGCTTTTTAATATTTTCTGTTCTTATATTTCAGATCCTGCGCATCACACTCTATTATATTATAACCTTCGGGGAGCACATAATCATTGCTATTTTCTGGTACTATGGAGCTCCTAGCAACTACTTCCATAACTATGGCATTGGTGTCATGTTTGGGGGAACTGTAGGAGGGATGCTGTTCTTAGCAGTATATTACGGCTGTTTTCACCCCGACAAGGACAGCATCTGGCTACGACAGAAGCTGGCAGATATGCAACAGCGGCTCAGGGAAGCCAAGGAGAGACAAGAACATCATTCATCCGTCCATATTGGGATGCCTTGAACAAATTATTATATTCAGGAAAACCAGTTAGCTGGACTTAGTCCTGGAGGTGAGAATGACAGTGCCTGTACTCTGAAGGAGAGGTGGGAGTGTTGCAGTCTGGAGGGCCAAATGATTTCTGATATCTGGACAATTCTGGTAAGACAGTGATGGAATGGATGGTAAATGTGTTTCCTCTTTTCTGGGTTACCCTACTTCAGTGGGAGAAGGCCAATGTCTTAAAACCTATAAAAGCCATACAGAATAACATGACAGAAGGTAAAAGGGATGGTGAAAAAGGAGAAAGGTAGTGTAAACCACAGTATGGGTAGAGATTGAACTTGTGGCTAGTGAGTTGTAAAACTCCAGACAAGTTCAATCCCCACCCATACTGTGGTTTGTTCGCAATTGTGTCATTACGATTTCATGAGTCAAAGGTAGTGCTGTTAAGGCTAGAACGTCTACTGAAAGGACAGGCATCAAAGTTGGTGAAGCAAGGTGGTGCTAGTTAAAAAAAACAAAGAAAGAGTCTGCAGCAAGGGTGGAACAGCCAGAGAGATGGGTGGACAAATTGTGCCTTAGTCAAATGTACCTCTGCCTCATTATTTCACTTATGGGAACTTGTACAAGTGACTTAGGGCAGAGTTGACATACTAATTCTGGTGATAGTGTGAATGACGGTAAAACTGTTTCTTTTTCGGGTCACCCTGCCTCGGTGGGAAACGGCCAGCATATAAAAAAAAAATAAAATATCACTCCATATATTTTACATTGTGTATGAATTTATGTAAATATTTACAAATCAACTGTATGTACTTCCTTAATGGTAATCATTTACACATTAATGTTTAATATACCGTACATAAATCTGTTAGGATTATTATATGCAAAGGAAAGTGCTAAACCCACAAGAGTTGATATGGCCCTTGGGAAATTGCTACTTTCCAAGGAAGTAGCTCCATTTCCTTGGAAAAGGAGCCCTTCACCAGCATCAAAGCACATACTTCTGAAGGGAAGATGCTGTATAGATATACTAACTGAAGTCAGTTGTGATCAAATTAATAATGTGTAACTTTACATGTGACACATATAATGTTTGTGAAAAATATGCAGTCATGACAATACATTACAATGACCTACAATGACTTGGTTGTTTATGTCAGGTATATAATGTTTGTGAAACACATGCAGTAATGACAGTACAATGACCAGCAGTGACTAAGATGTTTGTATCAGATATATAATGTTCATGAAACACAGGCAGTCATGACAGTGCAATGACCTACAGTGACCTGGATGTTTGTATCAGGCATGTATACTGTATACATTTTTTATAGACCTCTGCAATGTTCGTAGTTCCTATTTTTTCAATGTAGTCATCTCAGAGTCAGAAGCAAATAAGCCTCTTGTCTGTACATTTCAAATATTTATATTGCATTTTTAATCCGTCAACTATCCAAACGTAGATCTACGTTTGCACCGCTACTGCTCCGAACCTAGATCTACGTTTAATTTTACATGCTTTCAAACGTAAAAAAAACATAGATCTACGTTCAGAGTGCTAGTGGTGCAAACGTAGATCTATGTTTGGACAATTTAAGAGTTAAAGCAATGTTTCAATATGCAGAATTTTTAGGTTGTCTTTTTATAGCTGATCTTGATTTGTTATATTGTGTACGTATTTTAAATAGAATACTGGTCTCCCTCAACATTCGCGTTTTCAACTTTCACGGGCTTCACACATTCGCGAATTCCCAGCCTCCAAATTCCCAGCCGCCAAATCATATTTAAGTTTCCCACCACCTGCGAGTCCCTACTACCCTCCCTCCGACCCCCGTAACTAGCAGCCAGCCCTCCCATCAGTGTGGTGAGTGTTTTGTTTGTTCATTATTTGCTATTAAACTACAGTATAAATAATGTAAACCCATTCATGACTGCATATTGGAATGGCTATTCAGACAGGTATTGGACGGTGACATCATGTGTTTACTCTTGAACACAGCAAAGAATCAAACATTTCTGCTACTGCTAATAATAACATTAGTAATAATAATAATAATAATAATTGCGATAGAATTGAAGAAGGAAATTGTACAAAAATACGAGGGAGTGGTTGACACATGGTCAGTGTGACTTTGTTTATGCTGGAGTGAGCATTAGTCTCCGTGCTCTTCCAAACATTTCACAATAATTTATTGTGTTTGGTGCTTGTAGATTGAGTGTGACTGGAGTGGTAGAGGAAGTGGTTGAGGAAGCAGTTGAGGCAGTGGGTGAGGCAGTGGTTGAGGCAGTGGGTGAGGTAGTGGGTGAGGCAGTGGGTGAGGCAGCGGTTAGGCAGTGGGTGGGTATGGGGAGGCAGTGGGCGAGCAGCGTTGAGGCAGGGGGTAGGAAATGGTGGGGCAAGTGGGTGAGGCAGTGGGAGGCTGTGGTGAGGCAGGGTACAGTGGGTGAGGTAGTGGTGAGGCAGGGGGCGAGGCAGCGGTTGAGGCAGGGGGTGACAGTGGGTGAGCAGGGTAGGCGGGGTTGAGGAAATGGGTGAGGCAGGGTTGAGGCATTTGAAGTGAGGCAGTGGTGAGTAGTGGTGAGCAGTGGTGAGGTAGTGGTGAGCTTTTTGGAGCAGTGGGAGGCAGTGTTGAGGCATGAGTGAGGCAGTGGTGAGGAGTGGGTGAGGCAGTGGTGACAGTGGGTGAGGTATGGGTGAGGCGTGGGTGAGGCAGTGGGTGAGATGGGTGAGACAGTGGTGAGCAGTGGTGAGGTAGGGGGTGAGCAGGGCGAGGCAGCAGTTGAGGCATGGGTGAGGCAGTGGGGTGAGCAGTGGGTGGGCAGTGGTTGACAGTGGTTGAGGCAGTGTGGGGCAGTGGGTAGTAGTGGTGAGGCATGGTGAGACAGTGGTGAGGTAGTGGTGAGCAGTGGGCAGCAGCATTGAGGCAGTGGTGAGGCATGGTGAGACAGTGGGTGAGGTAGGGGTGAGATGGCGAGCAGCAGTTGAGGCAGTGGGTGAGCAGTGGTGAGGCAGTGGTGAGGGCAGTGGTTGAGGCAGTGGGTGAGGCAGTGTTGAGCAGTAGGCGAGGCAGCGGTTGGGGCAGTGGGTTGGGCCCATGGTGAGGCAGGGTGAGTAGTGGGGTGGCTGTGGGTGGGCAGCAGTTGAGGCAGTGGGTGAGGCAGGGGTTGAGGTAGTGGTTTGAAGGTGTGGGTGAGGCAGTGGGTGAGGCAGCGTTGGGGGCAGTGGTTGAGGCAGTGGTGAGGCAGTGGGTGAGGCAGTGGGTGAGGCAGGGGGTGAGGCAGGGGTTTAGGCGTGGTGAGGCAGTGGGTGAGGCAGCAGTTGAGGCAGTGGGTGAGGCAGTGGGTGAGGTAGGGTGAGGCGTGGCAGGGCAGCGTTGAGGCAGTGGGTGGGGCAGTGGGTAGGAAGCGTTGAGGCGTGGTGAGGCAGGGGGTGGGGCAGTGGGGAGGCAGCGGGTGAGCAGTGGTTGAGGCAGTGGTTAGGCAGCGGTTGAGGCAGTGGTTGAGGCAGTGGTGGAGGCAGCGGTTGGGGGCAGGGTGAGGCAGGGTTGAGGCAGGGGTTGAGCAGGGGTTTGAGGCAGTGGTTGAGGCAGTGGTTGAGGCAGTGGGTGAGGCAGGGTTGAGGCAGTGGGTGGGGCCCGCGGTTGAGGCAGTGGTTGAGGCAGTGGTTGAGGCAGTGGGTGAGGCAGTGGGCGATGGCAGGGGTGAGGCAGTGGGTGAGGCAGTGGGTGAGGTAGTGGGTGAGGCAGTGGGTGAGGCAGCGGTTGAGGCAGTGGGTGAGCAGGTTGAGGCATTTGGTTGAGCAGTGGTTGAGGCAGTGGGTGAGGCAGCGGTTGAGGCAGTGGGTGAGGCAGTGGTTGAGCAGTGGTTGAGCAGCGTTGAGGCATGGTGAGGCAGCGTTTAGGCAGGGGTGAGGCAGGGTTGAGGCGGGGTTGAGGCAGTGGGTGGGGCAGCGGTTGAGGCAGGGGGTGGGGCAGCGGTTGAGGCAGTGGTTGAGGCAGTGGTTGAGGCAGTGGTTGAGGCAGGGGGTGAGGGAAAGGGGTTTGAGGCAGGGGGTGAGGCAGTGGTTGAGGCAGGGGTTTGAGGCAGGGTTGAGGCAGTGGTTGAGGCAGTGGGTGAGGCAGCGGTTGAGGCAGGGGGTGAGGCAGCGGTTGAGGCAGTGGTTGAGGCAGTGGTTGAGGCAGTGGTGGAGGCAGGGGGTTGAGCAGGGGGTTGAGGCAGTGGTTGAGGCAGTGGGTGAGGCAGCGGTTGAGGCAGCGGTTGAGGCAGTGGTTGAGGCAGTGGGTGAGGCAGCGGTTGAGGCAGTGGTTGAGGCAGTGGTTGAGACAGTGGTTTTTAAAATAACATACATGTTATTAATATAATAATAATAATAAATGTTATTAATAACATGTGTTATTTTTTTTATAACATTTTAATTAAATACCACTGCCTCAACTGCTGCCCTCTACCACTGCCTAAACTCTGCTCACCCACTGCCTCAACTGTTTGCCTCACCCACTGCCTCACCCACTGCTTCACCCACTACCTCACCCACTACCTCACCCACTGCCTCACCCACTGCCTCACCCACTGCCTCACCCACTGCCTCACCCACTGCCTCAACTGCTGCCTCAACCGCTGCCTCACCCACTGCCTCACCCACTGCCTCACCCACTGCCTCACCCAGAAATGGTCCCAAATCTGCACACAGAAATCACTCCCTACGAAAGTAAAAGACTGGGCAGGCAATGCAAAAATGCCCCCAATAAAAAGTAGGGGCACCCTTGGTACACTAAGGGAAAACACCATAAGTGTCCGGGGCCCAAGACTGTTCAACAGCCTCCCATCAAGCATTAGGGGAATTGCCAATAAACCCCTGGCTGCCTTCAAGAGAGAGCTGGACAGATACCTAAAGTCAGTGCCAGATCAGCCGGGCTGTGGCTCGTACGTTGGACTGCGTGCAGCCAGCAGTAACAGCCTGGCTGATCAGGCCCTGATCCATCGGGAGGCCTGGTCATGGACCGGGCCGCGGGGGTGTTGATCCCCGGAATAACCTCCAGGTAACCTCCAGGTAACCTAATGCCTCAACCGCTGCCTCACCCACTGCCTCAACCGCTGCCTCACCCACTGCCTCACCCACTACCTCACCCACTGCCTCAACCACTGCCTCACCCACTGCCTCAACTGCTTCCTCAACCACTTCCTCTACCACTCCAGTCACACTCAATCTACAAGCACCAAACCAATAAATTATTTTTGAAATGTTTGGAAAGCACGAGACTAATGCTCATCCAGCATAAACAAAGTCACACTGACCATGTGTCACCACTCCCCCGTATTTTGTACAATTTCCCTTTTCAATCTACGCAATTATATTATTATTATTTTTACTAATGTTTAATTTACAGTAGCGAAATGTTTGATTCTTTGCTGTGTTCAAGGTAAACACATGATGTCACCGTCCAATACCTGTCTGAATAGCCATTCCAATATGCAGTCATGAATGGGTTTACATTATTTATACTGTTTACCTGGAGAGAGTTTCGGGGGTCAACGCCCCCACGGCCCGGTCTGTGACCAGGCCTCCTGTAGTTTAATAGCAAATAATGAACACACAAAACACTCACCACACTGATGGGAGGGCTGGCTGCCAGTTGCGGGGTCGAGGGAGGTAAATAGGGGCTCGCAGTGGTCGAGGAATGGTGAGCATTGGTGGAGGCAGTGGTGGAGGCAGTGGTATTTAATAACATACATGTTATTAAACCATAACATGTACATATTTAGTACAATTTACGACGTTTTCATGTATTTTATGATTGTTCATGGTTCAACAAGTTAAGGAAGCAGTATTGTATTATATTTCCCTACAATATTTTGGGGCACCAAACATTCGCGTTTTTTCAACATTCGCGAGGCTCTTGATCCCCTAACCCTCGCGAATGTTGAGGGTGACCTGTACATTCGAACCTCTTTAATCCAAAAAATGCTTTGTACCAAATGTTTTTTTCAAATTAGAGAATTTATATGTTAGAGAATTTATATGTTAGAGAATTTATAGGTTAGAGAATTTATAGGTTAGAGAATTTACAGGCGAGATAAGAAATTTTGAAGGTTAGAGAATTTCAGTTTGGCAAGAAAAGATTTACATTTTAGAGAATTTACAGGCAAGAGAATTTACATTTTAGAGAATTTACAGGTTAGAGAATTTGCAGGTTAGAGAATTTGCAGGATAGAGAATTTACAGATTAGAGAATTTACAGGTTTGAGAATTTACAAGTTAGAGAATTTACAGATTAGAGAATTTACAGATCAGAGAATTTACAGGTTAGAGAATTTACAGATTAGAGAAATTGCAGGTTTGACAATTTACAGGTTAGATAATTTGCTGTCCTCTATATCATGTTCATACATACACTAGATAAAAATATGTTTGAGTCTGATGTTACTGATGGACACAGATCTGTAAAGTTAAAAAAATATCAAGAGGACAAAGCCAGCACCAATTGTTCAAACCTATGGAAGAAACCATGGAACAGGTAGAATTTAAACCCATGGCACGTGAGTTCTAAAACAACAGTCTGGGTGTTATGATTTCATGAATCTGCGGAAGAAAACTGTAAACAGAGGAAGTTAGTTAACAAACCATAAAACATTTGCTTGCTCTTATTTTTAAACTAAAAATGGTACTATGACTAAAGAACATTTCCAGTGGTAATGTACAATAAGTATCTGATTAATGAGGTTCCATTGTATATCACTACAATTGTTAAATTTTCACACAAGTTTATACAATAAAGGTTTCATTACAAAAAATTTAGTACTGTATATCAATACGTACCTAAATAGCAGTAATTATTAGTTATGGGGAGAGGTGTGTAGA